GAACGCCATGTCAGCGGCTTTGGGTTCATGGTTTATGTCAAACAAGAGGCTTCTGGGTAGAAGGTGCTGAATGAGCTGCGTCAGGTCCGTTTATTTCTTCTAATGAATGTTCTCCTGCTTGTCCACCTGCAGTCTCTGTCTCAGCGTTACCAGAAGCAGATCTCATCGGTCGTCAGAGGTGAGAAAACTAAACCGACCCTCTGTGGTGCTCATATTTCTGACATTACCTGTTTGTTTGTTTGTTTGTGGGCACATTTTCACTCCCGTCTTTGTGTCCCCCCCCCCTCAGACGAGGTGTCTCGGGTGCTGCCCTCACTCGTGATGGTCGACAGGGCTTCACCTCACCCCAAAGTCGCCGCCCACGTCACCGGCAGCTTCGTGCCCAAACTGGAGCGAGAGGCGGGAGGAGGTGAGCGTCTGAAAAGGCTGGTTTTAAATACACGTGTGACTGATCGATAGGCGGTGGGAGGGAGAGCGGAGCAGAACATGTTTTTGTTACTCGACTTTGGACGAGCCTGCACCAGCCTACGTTTTAAATTTAGCCAAGAAAATGACATTTCTGTTTTTATCAAAGAGATTTCTTTTCCAAGGAAAAGCACATTTTCTCACGTTACTTCAAATCTACCAGATGAAGTTACACTGACGGTGCAGCTCGGTATGGTTGTTTATAAATGTTATGTAATTAAATAAATGTCTTTGCAAATCAAAATGACAAGAAGTTCTCATAATAAAAGTGAATCAAAGTCATAAATTAGACTTGTTGAGTAAATGTCACAAGTTTGACAAAGAATCTCATCATTTTGGCATAAATCTGTATTTAAATTTGATTAATTTGCATCTATTTCATCACAAATGTGACATGAATATATAAAGTCAAGACTAGAGGTCCTATGTTCAAGGCATCGCTTGCATTTTATTTAAATATAATAATTAATTTATCCATTCAAATCATAAAAATCTTAACATTCATCTCTTTGTTTTTCTCTTTTCTTGGTGTGAATTGTCTTTCATGAGGAACCGTCTGGTTGGTGTTTTTCCGTTGTTTTCTCCACAGCTCCGGTCTCGGCTGGGCGGAGAGTTCAGGGCCAGAAGATCTCGTGGTGGGAGGGGCAGAAGGGTCTGGCCTTCCTGCAGGACGTCCAGCTGGTGGACGGGGAGCTGGTGGTGCCACTGCCCGGCCTCTACTACGTCTACGCCCAGACGTACTTCAGACACACCCCCTCCCTGGAGGGGGAGGAGGGTGAGGAGGGTGAGGAGGACAGAGGGAGACCTCTGCTGCAGTACGTCTATAAAAAGGTGAAGAGACTTTAAAACTCCGTCGTCTGGGATTTTGCTGGTTTTTAACTCGTCTGACTCGCTTGTTTTGTCGATTTAATATACATCTGAACTGCACTTTTCCAAGCTGTTAGTTTCAACCATAAACGATCCAACAACGTTGCTGATCAACAAGCTGTAGAGAGGAGAACTCCTTAGTTGGTGAAGCGGTTTGTCAAAGACCGTCTTTGAATGCCTCGCTCCCTCCACCACCTCTCACTCACCGGTCCCTTTTCTCCCGCCAGGTGAGCTCCTACCCGGTTCCCATCCTGCTGATGAAGACGAGCCGGACCTCCTGCTGGTCCCGGGGCTCTGAGTTTTCTCTGTACTCCGCCCACCAGGGCGGCTTGTTCCCGCTCGGCGCCAGAGACCGGCTGTTTGTCACGGTGACCAACGCCTCCGCCGTGGACATGGACGAGAAGAGCAGCTTCTTTGGGGCGTTTCTCATCAGCTAGTCTAAAAACAAACAATGTCGCCGCCTCTTGACTTCCCCTAAAAATGAATTCAAATGAAAAACTGCTACAGGGAGTCACGGGGAAGTCAGTCTCTTTTTTCAGGCTCCCAAACACTTCATGATTGGAGAAGAGACCGATGTGGATTTCTAGGGTATTTGAGTGTATGTTAATGGGACTCAACAGATTAGAGTTTCCGTTGTACAAACATTTCTTTAAGGCAGAAAGTTTTTAAAGGTAACAGATTTTATTTTCTTGACCACCAAGGTTGAATTCCGGTGTTATTTGCTGTTGATATTCCACCGACGCCTGATTCATTACTGGCTCTTTTCACAGTGAATCTTTGAAGCTGAAAAACGCACCAAAAAAATGCAAAATGACCCAAGAGCCAACTGCAGGCGGCAACCTCCAGTTCTGCCGAGTGAAGTCAAAGCTTCATGTGTTAAAGCTGCATTCTCTCTAGTGTCCACCAGGGGGCGACTCCTCTGGTTGTATAGAAGTCTATGAGAAAATGACTCTACTTCTCTCTTGATTTATTACCTCAGTAAACATTGTAAACATGAGTTTATGGTCTCAATCTCTAGTTTCAAGTCTTCCTCAATACAGCATGATGTTCATTTAGTACATGGACGAACAAAAACCAAGATGGCGACGGCCAAAAAACAAAACGTTGACGGCCAAAAACCAAGATTTCAACGACCAAAAACTTATGTTGACGGCCAAAAACCAAGACAGCAACAGCCAGAAACACCCCCCCCCCCCCCCCCCCCAAAAAAAGAAATAAACAAGATGGCAAAACCGAAGGCCAAAAAGCAAGATGGTGGCTTCCAAATTGCGACTCGATGCTTCAAAACGACAGTCCTCACACCAATGGGTGACCAATGATTACGTCCACCTCTTCAGTCTATAGCCAACTGTGTTCAAAGTCAACATGGTCACTAGTTTTACAAACATTTTACTTGTTTGTGATCGTCAGGTTTGATGTCCAATGCCTGAAGAACTGAGGTCTGCCTCAAAGAACTGTTCGTATTAACCTCTTATCAGCTGAACATTAGTGATTATCTGAGTCCCTGAATGTGTGTGAAGATGTAAATATTGTGCTATATTTTGTCTTTCTATTTTTCTAATAAGCCTATGAACGTCTGGAACAATCCTCTGATCGTGTGCTTCTGCTAACATCAGTTAGTTGACGGCCATGTTGAAGGATTAATGGTGTAAAATCACCACCGTTGTCCTTCACGGGTTTTACAGAACCATTTAAAAAACTACGCTGCCCACAAATCAGGCTGTGTGTTGTTGGCAGCAGCTCCTCGGCTGCTGTCGGCTCAATCGTTAACTCCAAATGGTGCATTCGAACGCTCCCTGAACGGTGGCAATTCTCGGGTATTCATGTCATGTTGGATTAGCTGTAGATCACGCACATCGGCATCCAAACAGCAGAAATGTGTTCTGGTTTTTCCAGCAGCAGTTTGTAATGAACACTGAAGCTCAAGGACATTTACACCAAACGGATCGGATGTTTTGGACCCAATCTGTGAATTTAACCGACTGAGTTCATTCTTGAATTTATAAATACTCATTCTTAACTTCATGTCTGATGACTAGAGTCCTCCCGGTACCTTCGTCAGAGGATGGAGTAACAATAGAAGGAATAAAAAACAACTGAGCAAGCGCCAGCGGCTGATGAAATCCATGAGACGTGGCCGAAAGCTCCAGAAGGTCAAGAATGAACCCTGAGTTGAAGCTCCTTTAAATTCAGTTACAAGTCTTTTTGGATGTCCACGGTTTCAATGTTCAAGTTTTAAGTTCTCCTTTTTCCAATATGACATGAATGCAGCGTTTACTGGAGCGCTTCTGTAAATATCACAACACACAAGACGTTCTTAATCAGTTTGAATGTATAAACTTTCATCAAATGTTTGTTTTTGTCTATTGTTTGCATCCACAACGATAACGGGAGATAAATAGACCCACAGAAAAATAATCTGCAATTTTGATAATCGATTCATCGTTTCAGTCATTTTTGATGCAGAAATGATACAAAATGCTGTTTTCAGCCACAAACATGAAGATTTCACACGTTTCTGTTTTATATCACATTAAAGTGAATATCTTTTAAAGACATTTTAGGAACATTTGTCACAATATTCTGACATTTATAAAATAATCAGCAGATTATAAGATAATGAATAATGGTTAGTTGCGGTTCTATCCTTCCTATGAACGTACAAACTGAGGTGGATGTTTAAAGTAACATAAATGCATAAATGTCGTTTAAGTCACTTTCTATCAACACAGTGGTGATCGAGACGATGGCCCACTGATTAAAAATACTGCAGTATTTATAGATTTGCATTATTATGAACCGGTGATCTGTGAATTTATTATTTTTCTCCATTTTAAACATGCAAAAGAATTAAACTTTGCACTCAAATAGTGAAAACCTGAAGCTTGTGACAGATGAAACTAGTTTTCACTCTCGCACATGGTTTGTAAACCGAAGACTACAGAACGAGCTCTGATGAGTGAAACTTTAAACGCTGATGGAGGTGAAGTTCAGTACCTTCATACAAGCTCCGCCTCCTTCTGGACCAAATGGAACACCTGCAGTCGGCTCCGCCTCCAACACACCTGAAAGACATTAAAATAAAGAGAAAGAGAGACGACTGCACACTAATCAGCCTTTAGTCAATGAAACCAAACCTGAGCTGTTACCAGATAAACTCAATGTAAGTAAAGTCTTTTGGTGGAATCACTAAAAGTAAAGATTTGACAGAAGCGGTGAGATGATGTCACAGAATGAGAGCGTTCCTTCCTGTGATGAGCCTCTTTGTGGTTCATTAGACATGAAGATAGAGCAACGCCGCCCTCTAGTGTCTGAAGCACAGACGTGAAAATAATCACACAAACACGTCAGTTAGTTTTTGATTTTCTTTCTTTTTTGTGGAAATATGTTACAGATATATTACAGGTATTTAAATGCCCCGAGGGAGAGAACACACACACACACACACACACACACACACACACACACACACACACA